TTAAATTTAGCAAAGTTGACAAAGCAACTTGTGTAAGGGACCTTGTCTGACTTTTGTAGAGGGAGGCAAGTGAGCAGAAGAATGTAGACACTTGATAGTTACTTACCAACCCGGTGGCAACTCGGTTGCCAGAAATGGTGAAAAACGGTGTGAAATTTCGCAGCTAAGAATCATTGGTTGTTTTTTCTGTTCTTCTTCTCTTACTTTCCATTGACTTCCTCTCCCTGTTGTACGAGAAGAGTCTTTTTCCCGAAACGTTTCTTTCACTTTAATTCTTAAGGAAGAGCTAACTTTAAAATCTGCCGATATTATGACCTCAGCTCTTCAGCGTATTCTTCGTTTGCTTTCCAATCTTAATTTTTATTTTCTCTCATACTTCAATATTCTAGACAAAAGAAGTCAAAAACTGTTTAAAAGAAGCCCCAAAAACAGCTACGTTTACGCTGATGCCTGCCGATGTTTACGACGATTTGGTGAAAAAGTTTGTTTTTCAATTGTTATTCTTCATCTTTTCATTTCTGCTCATAGTTAACATGTTTAAAAGTTAATTTTCTATAATTTCTGACTTCTGCTGTTCTATAATCTTCCAAATTACTATATGAGAGAAATACGGCGGAAATAAGTGTTGGGGAAGGATGCTTGTTAGATTAAAGCGCTAAATTTATCTACATTTTTGTACTGAAAAATGTTGACAGTTTTAAAACCGAATTTCACCAATTTTTTTCTAACAACCAACAGCTTTATGCTTGAGAAGATGAACCATATCGTGTTCAACTAACCGTACTTTTATTTACTTTTATCTTTCAGACTCAGTTCATCGCTAATGCGGAAACAAGATCATAGTATTCCAGAAATATAATTTGAAATCAGCTATATGATTAGAAACGGGGACTAAGTTATAATTTCTCAGTTAGCTTACATTAATTTGTTGAAATGTCGTCACGTTATCTGTCACGCTCTGTCTTCATCTTCGTATTAGCTGCGTCTTATAACTAAAATTCTAATATTCAAGGCTACTGCCTATCGTGGCTATCAGTTTACGTTGCTGTTTGTTGACTGTAATCAAAATTTGTTGTTGGTCATGGAACAACATTATTAAACCATTTTATACTGCACAATCCATAAGACGAGATCAAAACATCAGCAACTTAGTCGTTATTGTATAAGGAACTGAAGATTCTCAAAGAATCGAAGTCACCGATTCTGTTACCGATTGTTAATGCTCGTTACCGTTCCTTATTAGCCAAACCTGAAAAACGAAAAAGAAATTGTATTCAATGTAAAAGAAGTATTATATTCTCATTTTTTATCTGTCATGGATTAGCTGTGTAGTTTTAGATAATTAATCATTTTTTTATTGGGTTGCTTATCGTTCGTAATGTCTTTCTAAAAAGGTTTTAAGCATGTAAATATTCGGGCGCTTATTGATTCTACATTTTTCTGTGGACAATTTGCCTGTGATATAAAGTCGGATTTTTGAAAATTTTGTTTATTGAGGGATCGTTGTAGGACTTGTTTTAATTTTACACTTAGGCGCATTTAAAACTTGGTTTTTGTGGCAAAAAACTGTACCTGAGTCGTTCGGCTCTATTCAAGTTCTCCACAACTTTGTTAAGTGGTAAAAATGATCGTTTCGTTCTGTAATTCAAAACTGAATAGAAATCAGCAATTGATGAAGTGCTGGTTGTGGTGTTGCATTGCAAAATTTTTTTTCTCAAGTCTTATATATTGATAGTAAATTTTGACAGTATAAAACCTCGTTTTTCTTCAACCTTTTTCAACGAGCAAATGAAACGTACTCTTCAGTAGTTCTCTACATTTTCCTAACAACAAGTTTCAAGTCTGAAACAGTCATGTTTTAATCTAGAAATTAAGTGTTTAAAGATAATCACTCTAGTCCCTGATGAAAGCGAGCAAAACTTCTTCAGATTAGAAATGACAATGTATTGGAGAGTTGGTTTGACAAAAAAGATATTTTTAGCATTTGGTATCGAGCAACTTACCCGAACTGGCCAGTGCCGTAAGAATATAGCCGTTTGGGTCGGTCATCAAATTCAGCGTAAAACGGTGAATATAATCCAAAATCGCTGTTTTTAAGCATAGCTTTTGAGAAGCTTAAACAAAGTCAAAGAAGTCAACTGAAAGCCAACCAATAAATTGATACTTGTTTTTTATGTCATATAAATTTGTAGGAACATGAGCAAAATGGTTTTTTCAAGACAATAATTGCAGTAAAAAATTGATGCATTTGCTTGGGCAGAAAAGTTAAAATAGAACATACCTGCCGTAACCAGATTCAACTAGTAGCAGAACAAGAAGAATTAAAGATTTTGAGAACATTTTTCGTACCTGAAATCAATAGTGTTTTATTTTTGAAAGTTAATTTTTGGTGTTTTAAAACGATGATAAATAGATCATGACGGAACAGATCATTTGAGCTAGTAGGCGTCAGCTTGTAAATTTGTATAGTTTGAACTAGAAACCAGCATTTAATAAACAATGACTGCAGCTTCGAATTGAGTCCAATAAATTTGCTACTGTTAGATGTTGCTTAAGATATGAAAGTTATTTGGACAAGATTAGCAATTAAGAAAGTTAGTGCCACATGATGTAAATCAGTTGGCATGGACGGCGACAAACAGCAATGACAACGATGAGGATAAGAGCAATAGCGTCAGCAGCAACGGCAGCTACAAGAACGAAGGGACAACGAGGATAGCGAGCAACAACAACAGTGAGGCCGCGAAGTGGAAACTGACGTTCAGTTGCATATTTGAAGTCTTTGTTTTAGCAGTTACGTCAAGTTGCGATTTATTTGAAAAACTGTCACCAAACCAAATGCATAAAAAAGGTTGATGTCGCTATAATGTCCTTCAAAACTTTTGCTATTAATAATTTCTGATTTTAAATTTTTGCTTTCGATGCTATGAACGACGACGACGACGAAGAAGACAACGCAGCGGAATTTCAATCGCACTGTTCAGCTTACTAAGTAATA